GCCCAAGGTTACAAGGAGCACACAGGAAAGCTTCAATCCTGGTCTGTCTTGATTGATTCAAAAACACTGAAGGCAAAATGTATGTCCTTGAAAACATCACAAAATAAGCCATCTAATATAATGGCCTGACATTTAACTTCTATTGATCAAATTAAAAAGATTTTTTTACACAAATTTGTGTAGCAGGAAAACATCTTCAAGACAGTTCACCCTGAAAAGACAGTTGCTAAGACAGCTTGGATCTGAAAGGCCCATGTGTTGAAGGCTTGGTCTCCAGTGATGACACTATTGGAGGTGGTGGAGCCTTTAGAAAGTGATGCCTAATTAGGGGAAGTCAGGTCACTGGGGATGAGCCCTTGACAGGGATATTGGAACTTGAGTTTACTCCTCTCTTTCTTTGCTCCTGCCTCCATGAGGTAAGTGAGCTTTCTCTGCCATATGCTCCTTCCATGATGTACGAGCCACCGTAGGCCCAAAGGCAGTTAGGGCAAGTGACCATGGACTGAAACCTGTGAAACTGTGAGCCAAAAATAAACCTTTCCTCCTTCTAAGCTGATTTTGTCAGGTATTTTGTCACAGTGGCACAAACCTGACTAACACAGCAGTCAAGATACCCTGCATCTACCATCAGGATTTGGTCTCCAGTGACACACTCCGGTGCTTCTATTGCAAATGGAGGTTATGGAGCTGGAGGGACTTGTCCGCTCTCAGGTTCCTAAATACACGGGGCTATGCCTTCTGAAGAACCACCCTCAGAAATTGGGCTGCACTTGAGTTTACAAGGCTTCTCTACACCCCATACCTCATTTTGGTGTTCGCCATAATTCTGCTCCTATTCTCACTTGACAGATCAAGAAACTGAAGCATCTTCATGACACCTGCAGAGTTGATGACCACCCATCTGTTTTGGTGAGCAGGGGGTCCAATGGCTGGGTGTAGACGGTGCCCTGGCTCTGAGGATCTCATGGTGAGATCCTCTAAGAAGTATGCTCTAAGAAGCAGTACCCTGGGGCCACAATGTGAGCCCTGGAAGTGTCCTCACACACAGAGAGCAGGTGGTCAGGCCCTGCTCCTTTCCATTTTCCAGCCAGCTTGCTTCATGCAGCGTCAAGTTGAGGGGTGAGGCTCTGCAATCCCATGGCAGGGAGGATAGAGAGAAGAGCGTTAGTCAGTGAGGGTACGGGCAGGCACACTCCTCTCCCCATCCAGTGACTTCTACATTAAAAACAAAACCAAGATTCCAGTATCAGCTGAAGCAGGCCAGAAGACAGCTGATTAAGAGCATGCTTCCCAACAGGTAAATTGTTCTGTACAATGTGGCAGACACCAGCTACAGGTGTCTATGGAGTTCTCACAGCATGACATAATGAAACATATCAAAATATATAGATGGATAATAAATAAAATATAGTCTCAGAGATTGGCATGGTGATATACACCTGTAATCCCAGCACTCAGGAGGCTGAAGCAAGAGAATTCCAAATTCAAGGCCAGCCACAGTTACATAGGTTCCATCTCAAAAAACAAAAACAAAAAAAAAAAAAACCTCCTCTATCAGTTCCACAAGGAATAGGTTCCAGTTGATTCCAGGATCCCTAAGGACACCAAAACCCTCAGATGATCAAGTGCCTTATTTTAAATGTCTAGTGTTTGCACCTATGCACATCCTCCCATGTGCTTTAAATCACCTCTAGATGACTGATAATACTTAATACAATGCAAGTGCTGTGTACATAGTTGTCATACTGCATTATTCAGGAAATCGTGTCAAGAAAAAATCTGTACATGTTTAGTACAGACATAATTTTGTTTTCAATTTGTGTTGGTAGAATCTGCAGATAAGGAAACTGCAGGTACAGAGAGCTGTATGTTGGTAAAATTATTTTTTATCTTTCTTTTCTATTTTCTATTTCTCTTTATATAATGTGGCTTCTCAAATGCTTTTGGGGGGGGTTCTTATGTAGTGCTGGGGATCAAACCCAGGGCCTTGGGCATACTAGGCAAGTGCTCTACCACTGAGCTACACCCCCAGCCGGAAAGTTGAAGTTATATATGGGACACATGTTTCCATTATGTTAAAAATAGTGGTAGTCCATTTTCAAGATGAGGCATTTAACCACGGCCGCTTGCGTATCATCTTGCAGATGTTGGGAAGGCCAACTGATAAGGGAACTTAAACTGGGAGGGGTAAAATCAGGAAATGCGTAAAAACTATGTGTGTGCCAGAAAGCACATATCACAGGGAGACCTTCCCACCACAAAAGGAGGTAGAGACCACTAAAGCCCGCTTCTAAAATTTGACCAATCCCAAGAGAGGCATATTTTAAAATAACCCAATAGGAAATTTAGGTGAGGGGGAGGAATGTAAATCCCATAGTACTCAGCCAATGAGAAACCAGGGGAGGGACTTAAGGACTTACACACTAGAGAATATGATGCTTTGGGTGTGTCTGCTCAACAGGCCCCCAATCTTACAAGACTGCCATTAAAGTCTCACTTTCACGATATTCCACGTTCTTCTGAGTCCATTCTTTCAATCTGAATAGGTGGGCATATTTCTCACATATTAGACAGCACTGAGAATCTGCAGCTCAGATGGGGTGAGAAAAAACCTTGAAACTCTCTCAAGCCAGGAACTGATATATTTGAAACCCAGAAATTATATATGACTGCATAAGACATATATATAATGTTCTAGGTTGATGTTGTTGGATTCGTTTTTATTTTTAAAGAAAAATCCCTTGGACACAGGAAGCTTAATTATATCAATTGTGCAATAGTGGAAAAACAGAATGTTAGTTGGTGAGGGTCATCCTGACCTATCTCCTGAAGCATTCCTGGTTCTCCAGCTACCCAGCACCAGGCTCTGGAGGAGAAGGAGAAAGGCAGGAAAGCCCTCCCTACACCCTCTGGTAGCCTTCCCCATCCACTGGTTGTGTTCTTGGTTCCAAGCCTACAATACAAGCTTTGTTTCCATTACCTTGGGGCAGACCAGAAACCCTCCAAGGGTGCTGGAGGTCTGTGATGGGACACTGTCCCTTGCATTTTGCCCTAGGCCTCACAGCTTCCTACCCCTAAGTTCAAGGTGACCCATTCCTCCAGCCAGTGCCCTTTCCGTGTGTGATATGCTGGGACAGAAAACATGAATCGCAAGGGCTGGGGGTGGGGCTCAGTGGTAGAGTGCTTGCCTGTCACTCAGGAGACCCTGGTTTCATCTCCAACACCAGAAAAAAAAAAAAAGAAAAAAAAAGGGCTGGTGGAATGGCACAAGTGGTAGAGCACTCCCTGAGTTCAAACTCCAGTACGAGAGAGAGAGAGAGAGAGAGAGAGAGAGAGAGAGAGAGAGAGAAAGAAAGAAGAAGAAGAAGGAGGAGGAGGGGGAGGAGGAGGGGGAGGAGGAGGGGAGAGGGGGAGGGGGAGGAGAAGAAAGGAGAAGGAGAAGAAGAAAAGGAAGGAAGGAAGAGAAAAGAGAGGAGAGGAGAGGAGACATGAATACAGCCTTGACTCTGACCAGTGAGTCTGGGATTCTCTCATAGCCATTGAAGGCAGAAGATTCTAAGGATTCCATCAGATACAAGACTCCCGAGGGAGGGTCCTGAGGACAGCCTGGGGCTGTCAATGACCTCTCTTGCTCTGGTTATCTTACGCAATTGCAGGAGGTGTCCTTATGACCTGCCACCTCACCTGGCTGGATGTTATGCTTCAATGACAAGTTTACTAACATGAGACAGCCGTCTCCTCCCAATCTTCCTCTACCTACCCATCCATGTCAACTGTCGTCCATGCCCTCCAGGCCAGCGGCCAGCCTGCTTCTGCTCCCACCAGGAACTGCTGCCCCACTGGTTTATCACTGAACCCTCACATTCCAGTTACCTCCCACACTTAGTAAGAACCTTCCCACCACCAGCTACTCTGTTAAACACTGACCATCTTTCTCTCCTTTGAAGAACATTCTGTTTCTAGGCCTGCCATCTTCTTCACAAGAATGAAAGCACAGTGAAAGCTGGCCCTTAACCATCCTAGAACTGGATCCTCCTCAGGCCCTCAAGTGAATACTGGCTGCATCACTGAATGAGTGAATGAGTAAATACACATAGAGTAACGAACAAAGGAATGCATGAACTCGATTAGAGGCTGCTCCAGTAGAGATCTTATGGGCTCTATGAAGAGTGGTTAGTAATAAAGGTGAATGAAGAATCTACAAGGAAACCTTGACAGAGGGTAAACACAGGAGAAGAAAATCCACTGGAATTGGGAGATGTGAGGAAAGGCAAACTCTCTGGTCTGGACTTTACAGGTGGTTGAGCTGGGTCTCCAGGCACCATCCCACCCATCCTGGCACAGCACTGCCCTTTCCACCCTTCTGAAAGGAAAAGGTGTTCTTCAGCCTACTGAAGGACCCAGGTAGAGGAACCAGAACTCCCATCACTCTACCCATGCTGCAGAGACACATCCACACTACATGCACCCATCCACACTGCAAACGTGGGAGTTTAGAATCCTTCACACTCACACACACTCCATCACACACAGCCACACACACACACACACACACACACACACACTCCTGGACATACTCTCAGAGTAACTCTTGACCACACAATTCCAGAGACTCTCATGCAAAATCCCAGATACCTACAACATCCCAGATTCACACAATCCCAGAGACTCACACATACAATCCCAGAGACTCACACACACAATTTCCGAGCTTCAGATAATATCAGAGACACACTTGCCCACACTTGTGTGCACACACACACACACACACACACGCACACACCCCAGCAGTGGGGAGTTCTGAGCAACTCGGGGCGTGCGCGTGCACACACACACACGCCCAGTACCCGCGGGAGCGCGCAGGTCTCTCGCCCCGCCTTACCCCCGTTGCCAAGTAACCAGATGGCCCCGCCCACCAAGCGTTGGAGGCGGTGCCCGCCTCACACTGCCGGCCTACCCTATCTTCTCCAGGTATCCACATCAACCCGCCCCACCAGTACCTGCCTAAAGTCGATATTGCCGAGGCCTCCGCAGCAGTCAGGCCCCGCCACCGATGTGCTCATAGGCTCGGCTGCGCGGCTCGGCCCGGCCCGCAGCTCCTTCCACGCGGCGGGCCGCCTCAGGAGGGACCACGCGGACACCTCGCGCAGCCACTCGCCGGCACCATCGCTCCAGGGAAGCGCGACCGGCCGGGCGCTTTCTCGGTGACCCCAACTTTTCCGGCCTTCTGGGAAATGTAGTTCTCTGTTCCTGCCTCGCAAGGGCCTGCGCCGGCGACTCCTGTAGCCAAGGACTACAAGTCCCAGGGTCGGTCGTGGGAAGAGCCTGCTGGTTCCATGGTGGCCAAGCTTCAGTGTCCCTCACATTCGGCCACCCACCTTGCTCTTTGGTCCCCGAATCTGCACCCCACCCTCCAACTGACCTGACCTTCCTGCCCTTGCCTGGCCCGGGCCGTAGGTTTAAGTAGCTTCCCGCGCAGCTCTCCACCATCTCAGATTTTCGCCCAGGCCAGTACCCCCTGCTAGCTTGTGAAATTTTCGGGTTTGCGAGGAGGTGCAGGCGAAGTGCACCTAAAGCTGGGCCCGGCCTCTGAGGCCCCCAAGCTCTTTTACGCAGCTGTTCCTTCGTTCCTGCATCCATCCATTCTCTCATTCACTCCCAAGTGTTTGCTGAACACGTCTGCGTGCTGAAGGTGCTGTGGACAGCAACGCAAGATCCCTCACTGTCTCCAAACGGAGATAAAGGACAAAGCAAAGGGATAAGCATTATAATGGGAAAGACTCGGGGCTAGGTTTCCCGCCTTAGAATGTCCAGAGGAAGTGCCAGGCTTGGCACGCCAGGGCAGGTCAGACTAGGAAAAGGGGTGGCATGTGCAAAGGCCAGGACATGGTGGCTAATGCCTGTAATCCCAGCTGTCAAGTTCAAGGCCAGCCTGGGCTACATAGTGAGGCCCTGTTTCAAAAGAAACAAAACAAAAGGATATGAATTTTTGTGTGTTTTCTTTATCTGGAAATGAGAAAGGTAAAGGTCAGAGGTCACACCAGAACTGATGCAACCAGTCCCGCCACCCTAACCTGTTCCGTGGCTCCCCCACCCCACAAAAGCAAACACCTCACTGGGAGCCAGATCTACAACTTGAAATGTGATTGGGTTGTTCACATCAAAAACCTCCTCCCGGAGATACTTTTGAGCAGAAGTCCTTGCCCATGTGGGATCTTCCAGATTTAAGAGCTTGCAAAGAAGTCCAGACCACCCATTTTCCCTGGCAAATGGAAAAGCCACTCTGTTTTTACCCCCAAGTGATGAGAGGTTCATCCCCTCCTAGTGGCTTGCCCCACTGTTGGATAGGGTAGTTATTCCTGATACCCACTTACCCAAACTCACTCTGCCCAAAGCTTTAACAAATAGAGCTCCTTTCTCCTCAGGGTTGCCTCTCTTTGCTCCTTTATAGCCCTTCAGATATGAGAAGCCATTTCTCAGAGAACATCTCCCAGGCTGCTCCAGGGCGAACTTCCAGACAGCTTCTATAGCCAAAGATTTGCCTCTATGCTACCCTGTCCCTTGACACTGAATATGGTCACAGACGCTCCCAACGATCACTAAAATGGCCTTTTATTGCTAAAATTAACACTGGCTGATCAGGTGACTTGGGGTAAAACCTAATCCTTTCCCTACTCAGGGATTTTCTGTTCATAATGTCTCTTGAGCATACTTCTCCAAGGAATCGGGGAGCAAGCTCAGCAGGAGCCAGGGTGGGGGTTGTGCAGGACAGATGTAGCCCCCAGTAAGGAGTCCCACACACACTCTCCCTTCCACCCTGGGCTTCAGAAATAGCCCCTTAATCTACATGCTGACAATGGGGCACAGTAGTGAATCCACCTGAACTCAGTTCTCTGCAGCATCAGCCAGGCCAGGGAACCCCAGCAAGGACATTGGTGCTGGTAGGGTTTCTCTGCCCCTCCGTGTCCACTTCATGCAAACCCCTGCTGCCTGCTGGCCTCCTTGCTACTCCTGGAACACCCCGGGCATACACTTGCCCCAGGGCCTTTGCGTGTGTTGGTCTCACTGCCTGGGATGCTTTTCCCCATATGTCTTCACAGCTCCCTGCCAGAGCACCTCTAAACTCTACTCATGTCACCTTTCCACCTTTCTAAACATACTGACCCACCATGCATGCTCCTTCCCCTTTCCTAACTTTGTTTCTCCCCATTACCCTGTTGCTGTCTAGCGAATTATTTAGTTTGCTTGTTTATTTTGTGGAGCTTCAGTCTCCCCTGCTAGGATGTACGCTTCATGAGGACAGGGATTTTTATCTGTTTAGATACAACTCTTTGAACCCATGCCTGGCCAAAGCAGGTACTCAACAATACATGAATGAGTAGTTCTGCCATTCTCCAGTTGGATGACCTTAAACAAGTCACTATTTTGGGCCTAAGTGACTGTGGAATGGAGGGTATGACTGGGTCTGTCACCTGAATAGAATAGCAAACCCACCTTTTACATTTGAAGTCCCCATCCCACCCCTTCCTGGCTGTGTGGCCTAGGGAGAGTGCTTTACCCTCTCTGACTCTCAAAATCCTAACCATGAAAACAATAGTTAATCTGACCCCTTCCAGGCTGCTGGCCCTGAGCTCAGCACTCCAAAAGCCTCCTGTTTTCTTTAATCCTCACAACAGCCCTGTGAGCAGGGAGTGTTACTCTGGATTTCCAAATGAGGAAACTGACAGGTGTGGAAGAGACTTGTCCATAGTCACACAACTCAATAAGTGGTAGGGTTGAATCCTGCTGCCCCAAACCAAGGCCAAGGCCAGGCCTCCCTGGGACTGGATGAAGTCACATGAGAAACCCAGCACAAGCTCCAGTATTTATTTGGCTCTCAGAGGCCATCATGGGCCAGGCATGGTGACTCATACTTGTAATCTCGCTACTTGGGAGGCTGTCAGGAGGATCATGGTTTGAGGCCAGGGGGTTGAGGGGTTCAAGAGCTCATCTCAACCAATAAAAAGCCAAGTGTAACGGGGCACTGGTGAATCATACCTGTAATCCTAGTACTCAGGAGGCAGAGATCAAGAGGATGATGTTTTTGAAGCCAGCCTAGGCAAACAGTTTGCAAGACCCTATCTTATGAAAAGACCCAACACAAAACAAGGCTGGTGGAGTGGCTCAAGTGGTAGAGCACCTGCCTAGCAAGTGTGAGACCCTGAGTTCAAATCTCAATACCCCCAAAAAATAAATAAGCTTGGTATGGTGGTGTGTACCTGTCATTCCAGCTACTCGGGAGGCATAAATAGGAGGATCTTGATCCAGCCTTGGCTAAACACAAGAGCCTATCTCAAAAATAACCAAAGCAAAAATGGGCTGGAGTCATAAGTACAAGGCCCTGAGTTCAAACCCCAGTATCACCACCAAAACAAACAAAACTATCATGGTTCTGCCCCCTTCTGCTTCTTTTCATCACATCTGCTCTTCAGTGTCCACTTACAGCCCAATCTTCTCTGAGAAGCCTGACTGCTCCTTTAAGGACAGGCTAGGATTACAGGCATGAGCCACCTTGCCTAGCCCTGAACAACAGAATTGACATCCACAAACTCCCCCCGCCCCCAACCACAGTGTACCTTCTTTTCAAGTTCACACAGAACATTTGCCACAGAACACAGACCTATGCTGGAACATAAAGCTAACCTGAACAAACTGCCAAAGGTTGAAATCACACGGTTTGATGGTTTGCTCTCTTAAACACAGTGGATTGAGTTAGGCAACAAGAAGGTAACTACAATACTTTTTTTTGGTGGTGCTAGGGATGGAACCCGGGCCTGGTGCATACCAGGTAAAAGCTCTACCACTGAGCTATACCCCCAGCCCTAAGCAATTTAAAATTTTTGTACCTTGAAATTTTTCAAGCCCCTCACCAAATTGTAAGAGTAATACAGTAAACATCCTATAACCCTCTTTGCATTTCCTGGCATGTACAATATCTGTTCTGTTAAGACTGTCTATATGAACTATTTGAAGGCAAATTGAAGGCTTTTCACCTAGGACTGTCCTAAGAACAGAGACATTTTTCTATGAAACCATGATCGGGAGCAGGCGTTTACCAGGAACACATAATGTCAGCTAACACATGGTCCATGTTCACACCTGGCCCATGGACCCGATAATGTGCAGTACTTCTCAGAACCAGGCTCTGGTCCAGGATCACAGGTAGCCAACTTTGATCTAGAATATTCCTTGGTCTGTCTTTATCCTTCAAGAAAGACTGACAGTTTTGGAGAGCTCAAGCCAGGTCTTTTGAGGGCCACCCCTTGGGTGGGTTTGTCATGGTTCACTGCAGGCTCTGCCTTTCTGAGCAGGAATGTCACCCAAGTATTGGGGTGTGCTCTTTCTTTTCTGAATGGCCACGCTGATGTGCTGTTCTTATTGATTTTTCAGACTCATGAGGTGTGTGAAGTCTCTGGGGTATGGGGCGAGGCTCATGGAGTCAGAAATCATCCCAGTCCCTCGCTAGTAGCCCCTGTGATTTGGTTGATGGCACCTTGTTAGTGCTGACATGGCTGCCTCCCTCATGGTGCCAGGTAGGAGAAAAGCCAAGTGCCCTCAGGTTACAGGGGAAAATTGCCTACACAAGAGCAAACTTCCCAACAGTAACAAGCTCTCTGAATTCATGAGGACTCTAGGGCATAGCCCAAAGGTGCCCCCTGGGCCAGTGCTAAGTAGTTTACGTCTGGGGCTGATTCACTCCCAGCCACCTCTGTCTGGCCCCCACCCCTCCCTGGGCCCTGCCTTGCCATATGTAACCAGAAGTGCCCAGTTAGATTCTGCTGCAGTTGGAATCTAAGCAGGACAATTCCCTGCCGAGTAGGTGGACTGACAAAGTATAGGATATTAAGCACTTGGGCCCTCATCCATGAAATGCACCCCCAGCCCCAAACACCCCTGAGTATTTCCAAATGGCTTCAAGGAGAGCATTAGGACCCCTCAGGTGAGGACAACTAGATAATCGCTAATAATATCAGCTAGTGTACCTGGAGGACTTCCCTGTACTGTCCTCCTGTGGAGCATTTTTGATATATGTCACCCTATTTGTACCTCCCAGCAATCCATTCTACAGGTCAGAAAAGGGGCCAGAGTGTGAAGCAATAGCCAGGAAGTGTTGGAGCCAGGACCCC